CAAGTACTGGTACATGTAATCTATCCCAAAGGAACCTGCTCAGCCCTTCAGCTCTATACAATGTTTACACTAATCCACTTAGACCCCTATTAATCTGTGGAAGCATGGTGGGGGAGGCCTTCTGTCAGGGATTTTGAAATGCGGACGTGCAGACAGGCCTGATACTGGCCTGGAGAAGCCTGAATACCGGACAGGCATTATACAGGGCGGGCTACCGGGGGGCCCTTTTCAAACCGGGTCTAAATGGTTGCCGGCCCTAACTGAATCTGAATTTTTTCCAAAACCTTTAATTTTCCACGAACACTAAGAATGCACTTCTTTCTTGTACGAAATCCAAGGAGCAAGAGTTTAACAATTCCCAATGCAGGTCATATCACAGCTAGCTCCTTCTGTTGAAATTTGGAGAGGCATAGGCAAAACTGAACTCACCTAAGATGGACCTACTCACGGCCAGTTTGTCATGCCTCTGCAACATCTGACAATTCTCCATCCATTTCTCGGGCCTCCATTCCAGCCACTGCAATGGATAACGGGAAGAGGTCATCAGTGAAGATGTGAAGCATAGTGTTGCAACCACTGACAAAACTACTGATCTGAAGTTTCACCCATTGGCTGTGGAGCAGTCTGTCCCTAATGTCTATACCAAATTCCCCAAAATCACTCAATGAAACAGCACAGCATGTCTCCGCCTTTCACTGCGACAGCTTCATGTATGATAAATTCAACTCAATATTCAAGAACATGGATGAACATGTGTACCAACAAAAGATGCAGACGACAGATCCTACCTCTGAATTCCTGGAAGGTAGCACGTGACTAACAGGAACTGTGACAATGAGATCGCTGGCTCTTGGCACAGACACGTGAACTTGGATAAAGTAGGCAACCTGTTTTTTGGGGTGAACAAAATAGCAAGCATTAATGGAAATGGGTGTGGAGGTGACTATCATCAATCAAGCTCAGACAATATGGCTCAGATTAACTGGTTTCTTTTATTTAAAGGTGTAACTGGGGTGAAATTTCCGAGGGGGAAACTGGGGGGGCATGGACTTCTGCTGGGGGGGTCATGTGCACCTCATAGTTACACCAGCGGTTTTATTTCAGTTGTTTGATAAGTTTGATATAAACGTCATACTAGGAAATATAAAAACAATTTGAAGAAAGTTGAGGGTTTCTGGTGCTTTTCTTGTTACTTTTATTACCTAAGACTCTTTCACTCAAGGAGACTTCCACACCTCAATAAAAGAAAAAGTACAGTCATATAAGACATGGATATCAATGCTGAAACATTATCTATACGAGCCCTAAAGATGTAATATCACGTTTTTTTTCATTCCTTTGTCATTCATGAAGTCAACATAGAAAGTCCAATTTGCAACACTTTCATTTTCTACAGATCATGGCCCAATTTCATGACAAAGCAGTGGCTTATCCAGTGAGCGCAGGGCAGGGGACAAGTTACCCCCAGGAGACGAGTTGGTAATTACAAAAAATTTTAATTGGTTTACTTTTTTGGTGGAGAATGGAAAGATTGAGCATTAGTTTAAAAATGAAAAAAAATTGAAAGTTGTTCGAAAAACTTCCTCCCCCTTCCCCGACCCAAAATCATAATACGCCACTGTCACTGAGGTAGTTTGGGTTATTTATAAAGAATGAAAAATGTGAACAAGGACTGCTTTCAGAGTAGGCCCACAGTGTCAGCTTTGTAAAGAAGAATAAGAAAGAGCAGCATTGATGAGAAAAGAGCAAATAAAGGCAGGACACTACGTGACATGTCTTACCCTTAAATAATTCCCCGTGGTGGAGGGAGGCAAAAGCACACCATCTGAATCAGAAAGGTGAATGCTACAAGTCCTGCAAAAAAAGTGAGCACCAAACAATGAAATTGACTAATCTCAACTTCTTTTCTCTGATATGGTTTCCAAAGCAGAAGTATAACTGATCCTCCCTGAAATGATGTTCCTCAGCATGGTCAATGAATTATTTGATGTCAATCTGGTTCAAAGATGCAATTGTCTGTGTTAATGTTGCCATGGTAACTAACAGCACCCATTCTAATTTACCATTCGCAGTTCTCCTTTGGTTTAACTGAACCTAGGTTCTTGAAGCCAATTTCTTCGGCATCTATAGACACTTCATCCTGAAGTCGGACTCGGTCGGCTCCCCGGTAGGTGGCGTAAATCAAGGAGGACTGTGGATCTTCCTTGGCAAGCTCTTTGTTCATCCAACAGCCATACATCCAGACTGTTCTCTTGAGCTGTGAACATCACCCAACCAAGGTTTTCAAGTTATGATAACAGATCTTAAATTCCGCCAAAAAGACACTGATGGCATTATCTGCCACTGTGCTGGATATGCACTGGCCGGCCATCTTCAATAAGCTCAGTGGTCAAGTGGTTACGACATCAGTTGCACTATTAAGCAGAAGACTGAGGGTTGGAGTCCCGCACAAGTAAGCTTGTGAATTTTTCTCTCGGGAGCACTGAGAATATGGTGCTTAATAATAAAAAATTCAAATATTAGAATGACGAAAACAAAGACTTATTTTGTCCTTCATATGACAATATCAGTTGAAATTATTACAATAACAATAACACTGGAAAGCACTTTGATCTGAGTTAAAAGCGCCATTTAGAAACATGTTATGATTACCATTAGTAACCAGACTCTGTCTTATATGAACTTCATGCTGCATCCTTGGATAGATCACTGTGTCACTATTAATTGCCCAACTCAAGAGCAAATGGGCACTTATGAGGACAGATAGATGGATATGTTTAATCAGCCATTTGTGCCTGAGATGGCAGCAATGAGCGGCATACTTCCTTGGGAGTGGACGCTGTGATGGTTTAAGGAGTGTCTATCCACAAACCCTGTTGACCGCGAGTTAGCTTCTATATGATTGTAACCATTATGCTGAGAGCACGCAAGAGAGATCCATGGAAGAGATGGTGAGTAGTGTCATTTGATCAATTTTATTTTTCTAAATATCACAAGAAAATCTGAAAATTGTTTTTTTTAGGTGATTATACCATTGTGTAAAGTTATACTGGTGCTCCACTTTGATGTAGTAATTCATTTTTGTGGCAAGGTAAAAATGGGCAAAATACCTGGTACACAAGCATGAGGAATGTCGTTGTACATCCATCATGTCAGTGTGTGTTTGAATGGACAGGTCTAGGTATTCCAATGACTCAATGCAGAGTGTTCGCAAAGATGAACTTTGCCCAATTTTGCTGAGTGTCTGCATTCATGATTGTGTCAGTCACAAGAGAATGTTGGCTCTGCTGTCTCCGTCTCTTTATGTCAGTATGGAAACTAGGCTTTATAGTATTGAGTCTCAATATGGCATACAAGTACACTTTTAAATACGTAAGTTTGCCCTCTTGCTACAAGAATAATGTTATATCTAAGAATTAATAACCCAGCAGCTGCCGTCAACGGATAGGTATCTCGTTACTTACCCAACATTTCACTGACTTGGCAAGCTCAGACGACTTGTTGTTCACGTTAACACTGAGCTGTATCGTTTCTCCAATTGTATAGGCCAATTTATCCAGCCTAAAGAGGTAAACATGAAGTTAATTGGCTTTTTAGTTTTTTATGTCGGATGTCGATGAGGGTGACGAGTCCTTTTGAACTTTGCCCCAAAAATGTCACACTCACTCAGCACAATGGCAGGCACAAGGGTAGAGCCAGAATAGAATTCTCAGGAAGGCCAAAAGTGGTTTTTAAAGGTAAAAACATTGGAAATTTTTAAAACACTTCATGGCCTGTCTAAGAGCTATATTTGGGTGTTGTTTTTTTTAATGCTTTTGAAAGGAAAGGTAATAGACCCCAAAAGTCGCCTTCAAATTATTATTGTTCGCTCCCTTTTTGGAGGGGGGGGGGCATGGCCCCTGTTGGCCCACCCCCCGGATCTTCCCCGTAGGCAGGTAGAGGATTTTTTCCTGAGGGTGGATGCTGAGATTTTAAATGCAACATATGTAGTCACGAATTGACATTGGAAATACTGTGCTATCCATTTCCGGCTTAACTTTTCCAAGCTTTCCAACTGTGGAAAAGTTGAAGTATTGACGGCTGATGCATGATGATCTCACAAATCCCCCCCCCCCGAAAATCATCCAGCCCCCCTTGTGCAAAGATGCTTAACATGCCTGTTTTGGGGAAACTAATGTCTAATAAGAAATAATGTCTAATAACTTAGTATAATCTATAAAATACAAATTCTGCATCGAACTGGTTACTGGATACAGTGACCTGAAGTACAAAATGGAAAGGGCCTGACATTTCAATCCTAGCAGAATCTTTCTTAATGGCAAATCGTTTTCTACACCAAAAAAAATCATAATAACAGAGAAAAAAAAGGGCCGAGAGGTCAGGCCAATATGGCCATTCAGGGGTCAACTCATAATAATGTACATGCATGTCAGAAGAAAAGTACCATGTCAATCACAAGTACTGATAGGTTTGAAAAGCCACTTGGAAAAAAATTGACAGGACACGTGCCATAACACCGGGCAAAATTACTTGGAACTTGACATTGAAAAATTGACTTGTGGAAAAGATTGGGACTTCACTCGACTTGAAGAAAAACCTGACTTGAAGAAAAACCCGACTTGAAGAAAAACCTGACTTGGTTACAACTCTGCTGCAATTTCTGCCACTTACTCTGCCATGAGTGACAGACCCCCTCGGTCGTAACAAAAACAGGTCTTGATTATCTTTTCGTCGAGATAGGCAACTTTTACGGCGTTGTTCGTCCTCTTCCCCAGACAGACGAAGGTCTGCGTGTCACTGAGCTTGTTGGAGGCCAGGGCCGTGACCCTGTAGATGACACTGCCATGCCAGTTGCCCCTCGGTGAGGAAATGGAGGTCGTTGCTAAATGTTACAGGAAGGAAAAAGAACGCTGTGCATTTTCAGTGCAATTTCAAGCTGTGTGTGTTAGTTTTGCTACTCACATCCATTCCACATTTCTGTAGAATTGGTAAACTTTTTATCTTCATGCAGAGATTAATTCGTGAGTCTTCACTGCAATTTTCAAAGGGTTCCTTTGTGATTTTTAGTAATGTGAATACCATTCACAATTTGAAAATGTCAAAATCTCCACTTACAATGACAATATCAGAATTTGGCAAAGACAAAAACATTATTTTAAAACTATGACAAAACCAACTGTCTCATCACCGAGATAAAAGAGGCCTTCATTTGCATCTTTATGTTCAAAATGCTTCTACTGTTGTTATCTTATCTGGCCAGTATTTGCCGTTTTTAAAAGTTGGCTTCAGTCTTGCCAGGGCTAATTTATTTCTGTGATCAGATCCGTGACGGAGGCACAGTCCATATCCCCCCTTTATTTTTCCCCCTTTTATGGGTATGCATTATTCTCTTCCACGTTCTTCTCTCAAATGCTTACTTCACAGCTTTAAATATGCAATGTTCAAATGTTCAGGTTTCAATTTCATTTTGGTTATCTAGCCCCCCCCCTTTCAATCAATTCTTGTCATCCTTTCTTTTCATTAATACTGGATCTGCCACTGCTGCAGGTGTGTTTTAAAATGAGCAAACTTCAAAACCTCTTTGAAAAGGTCAAGGAGAGATCAATCCATAAACACCTTGGCGAAGAACTAGGGCATACTCACAAGGAAGATTCGGTTTCAGTTTGTAGTGGAAAGGAAATTTGTAGTTGCCAACAGGAAGTGGTTCTGGGAAGAAGAAGGAAGTACAACAGCAATGGAGGCAATGTTATTGGCTCTTGTTGTCAGGTGATAAGAGGACACTTCCTTGCTAGGTGGTTCAAATTTTTGTCACAGATCCTAAATAATCAGTTCCAATCATCGTTAAAATAATGCTCCTTTCCTTTCTGTTAAATTTCCTTCTCGTTATTTCACCTGTCTTTGTATGTGCCAATGTGCAGGAAGTATGAGAAGATTGGTTGATGGAAGATGTTTGGTGCAGTGGATGGGTAGTCGGGTAAATGTAGGTTGTTGGTTTGGTTGGTGAAAAATTAGAGTGAGCCTTTATTAGGGTTAGAAGGGGTAGTTCAGATGTTTTGTAAGCAAGTATTTCTGAGTCTGGCAAGTATCTTGATATGAAATTAAGAAAAACAAGGCAGCACAGCCAAGGCATTTGTTTGTTTGTGTTTTGACACGGGGGGGAGGGGGAATGCAAGAGCTTAGGATAAATCTATCCTGAAAATGTTCAAGTTCTAGGCAAGGACTTAAGTTCCAGTACTCTTGGGATTAATTCATTTGCTCATCTGTAAGTTCAAACACTCATGTTCCTAATAATTTAAATTATTCATCAACATAACCTTAGCAAGTAAGCTGAATTCCTTCAGCACAAGCTTTTTATTAACCATGCACTTACGACTGGTGGTATTGGCTGAAAATTTTGACTTTCAAAAAAGGCAAGATAAAGCGGCTAATATTTGATGTACAGCAAAACACCACAAATACTGATTTGCAAGAGTCATTTCAACAGTACCTGTATTTGTATGATATTTCTACCACAACCATATATTTGTCAACAATTTGCCAGTACAGGAGGCCATGCACGGTGGCCAAGCTCAAGCTCAAGTTCATCACTTGCTCTGCCTTCACAGACATCTCAGACTTTGGATACATGTACAAAACAGGGGGGTGGGGGGAATAGCATGTACCAATGTCAGCTAGAAGTGAGTCAAGGCATGCTCGATGCACATTTTATTTTATATGCATAGTCTATCAGGTCGACCTGTGTGTACAGATAGCCAGATCTTGTCCTCCCGCAGGATGTGGTTAAGGTTTTCTTGGGGACTTGGAAAAAAATGACTCAACTGCAGCCAATTCTTTGCTGTGTCTAGCTGTGCACACTTTATGCTGCTGGAGAATTAACTACATGCAAATTTTCAAATGAAAAATTCACCGTGTGACACTTCCTTCATACAACATGTGCAATAGTGTAACAATGCAAAGTCCCCATCCTGATCCTCCAGATTGTCTCTTTAACCCTGAATGTGTTCCAAGCCAATTAGGAAATCGATCTGAGTTGGCCCATTTAACCCACAAAACTGCACCAAAGTGTCAAATTTAAACCATTTCAGCAGAATTGCTTGTCATGTCCTGTTAAAAACCACACATTACATGGAATGATTTTGCTTTGTTACTGCATGAAGTAAATTAATTTGATTGCTTCCTGTTACACTATCTGCACTGACTCCTGATATAACTGGCAACTTTTGACAGTAGCCGTCTGGAATGAGATCCTACAGTGTTCAGACATTACATGCTCCAAACGATGTGCATCATGGGTCACTCATGAGAATCGACACCTGCACAAAGGGCCAACCCTGTCAGAGCAAATGTGGGCCGACTCACAGACAACCATGCCCCTCTTGAAATACCAAACAGGCTTACTCTCCAGTCCGGTAGAATCCAATACTTCACAGCAAACCAAATGGCCCATCATTTTCTGCTCTCAACAAGGACTGAACTTGGAACTTGTAAACTTCTTGCAAAGTAAACAACAGTGCTTGAGGTATGCTTTATTACCAAGTCCTTCAAAATTGATTCAATAGCAATAGCTGCAATTGGGAATATTCAGTCCAGGCTCATACAGAGGGTTGATCATTTCCTATAACATGTTCAGTTCCAAAATTAGTGCATTCTGAGAGGCCTTGTGAGGTTGCCAATATGCTCCACAATATGCCTAAGGTGGATTCGAATCCACCACCACTGGCTTTTAAAACCTAGGGCAAACATCCTAACCACCCAACCACCAGGCTTTGCTGGTGTCGGACGGCCAACTGCAAACTAAATTCACTTATGAAGACAAATTCACAGACCTTTTAGGGCCAGAACCTCCACGGGATTAGCCATGACTTTGTCGGTGTACGGATTCCGCAAGCAGTCATTGGAGTGGTTGATGGACCAGTCATCACCATCCACAGGTGTATAGTCACCTGAATTGGACAATTGGAACACAAATTCTGCTGGTAAGACAAAATCTGCTTGTAAAATTCTTCGGCACAGAACAACTACAAAAATTGTTGTGTCATTGCAACAAGGTTGTAACTCTCATTTATTTTGTATACGAGATACGACTTTGTTGCACTAAAGTGACAAAAATAAGGGTTGGATGGTAACTAGTTTACTTAAGGAAAAAGCTACTTCAAGTTTCAAAAATCATATCTTGGAATTTAAATTCAATGCTTTTCCTTCTCCTTAGTACTGGTTTAGAAGACAGACATTACTGCAAAGAATATAACTTGAAATCTCTCCTGAATACCATGGTCTCTCAGCTAGAGCTGTACTTGTTGCACAGCAAGCAATGGCTTGACACTTTTTAAGGTCATTTCAGAAGCGGGATGAAGTTCCTTCCGATTCCAAGGCATTTTCATAGAAACTGACAATGTTCCTCCCTTCCCTCTTATTTTGGTCATTCCATTTCCACTTCTGTTGTTGGTTTTTGTTTTTTGATCCACTGTCCCCCTCCTAATGCCAATGCACACTGATAATACTGCGGAGCAAAATGACTGGACAGGGAGGTATTTATTGTTTCCTTCTTGGACTAAACGTGGGTTTTTTGTATTGAACTAATTGGACTTTTTGGACTAGTCATGTGTGGGTTTTTTTGATTGACCCTACTGAAAATGTCCAATTCATTTACCTATTGAGACCAATTCATGTACCCATTTGATCCAATTTACTTACCCATTGGATGCAATTCACATACCAATTGGATCCAATTAACTTACCAAATTCACAACCAATTCCAAAACCAATTGTTTTGCTTGGAATCAATTGGAATGCAATTGAAACCAATTGTTTTGCTTGGAATCAATTGGAATGCAATTGAAACCAATTGTGTCCCATTTGAAATCTCCAATTGATGGGGGAAAACAAATGGGAGAGAAAACGTACCAACTGAAACCAACTGAGCATCAATTGATTGCTAATTGGAATTAATTCATTCCAGTTAAATCCAAAAAAAAATCCATTGGTTTAAATAGGCCAATAGGGAACTCTCATCAGACAGGAATATTCCCACATTTCCTTGTGCCCGTACTGACCAAGTTTCAGTGGTCATTGCCAAAATACAGTAATTTTCATTTAACTTCAACATTATAAATCTCAGGCTGGCAACTATGAATTTGTTATCGCATTGGTACAAAGCACAAATGTGTTTTAGAATGCATAGGTGATGTTTGTAATGGTGTTTTTGTTTGCACAGCCAATTAAAATTTGCAAACGAAACTTTTGGGTGAGTTTTTTTTGTTCCATATACTCCAACATTTAAGAAAAGCACCTTGGGTCATGAAAACACAAGCAATCCTTTGCAGGTTGCTAGAACAAGCCTTGTGATTGGTCAGATTGCATGAGATTTGTGACATATAGCCTGTCCAAATAGAGTAACACTCTGGACTGCTTATGGGTACCAAAGAATCCGAATGTAATGGAGCAAGTAAAGAGATGGGAAACTCACACTGTTCAATGCCTGATATCTGCAACTGTATTTTGTCACTGAAGTCTGCAGTGACCACTTTAAGATAGATCATTCTGAAACAAAAATAGAAATATCAAGTGCACACTGAATGAACATTAGTTAAAGCTCACAAATGGCAGCTAATATTCCAATAAAACCATAAAAAAATAACAATGTAATTTATTAATGGCAAATTCTGGGTAAACGTATTTGAATGCGCTGTACAAACTTAAATGAAATAGTGACATTCTTTAGCTGATAACAGTTTCCAATTTAACTTGGCAAAATGATTTACCTTTGACGCACGTACATTGTAGATCTGAAACATTCATGTTCACATGTGATCATGATGAATCATTGCAGTGTCCTGTGCGAGTGCAAAATCAACTGTGCACATGACACTTCCTAATTTTTAATCCCCCTTTGATCACTTCCTTCAAAAGGCATATAGCACTCTTACATATTTCCTGGAATAAAAGTGTGTGAAATCAAAGGTTCCCCCAAGCCACCTACAAGTATGTACATGTACGTACAATGGGACAAAGTGCAAACCACTAAAAGAAGGAATGAAGAAATTACAGTATCTACTCATGAGATAGAGGTTAACCCCAGGACAACATTCCAGGAAATCTGTGAGACTGGGGAAGGCCCTAACACCTCATCCACATGAAAAGAGCTCTAAATTCAGTTGAAAGAGATGGAAAAACAAGACGTACATGTCCATGTACATGTACAGTGTATACCACTGTGCTAGCATGATACATGTACTCATGACAGTTGCCATATCTCTCCAAGTACAAGCTATATTTTTACAAGAACCAAACAAGTTTGCATTATCAAACAATACTGCAACTACAAGAAGTTAAAAAATTAATGGAATTCCCAGCTGACAGAGACTTTATGTACATCTTTAAAGGTGCGTGCCTAACAGCATACATGTACACAACGGAAATCAGTTAATCTTTCACAATCTGCACCTCAGTTTACACCTACCCATAGACTGTATCCCCTGCGTAATATTCCCCTTGATGCGTCCGAACGGCAATTTCATTCATTCTGGCTAAGTATGAAAGACTGGAGCCGGAGTAGAAGACTACCTGGAAATCAACATGTAAACCCATGTGAACACTTTTAGATCTGGCCCCGTGAAACAAAAATTGAGAAAAAAAAATATCACCTGCAATGAATCACATTCTCTGCGATGCTGTTAAAGTTTTGAATTTTTATAGCAGAAATGGCAATAAGAGTTAGAAAATTAGAAGTTACAAATGGTTTTTTCCACTTCAAGGATCACATGGCAATTAAAAGCTGTCTCAAGTGAACTCCCTGAGCATGTTAAAGGCAATCACACAAGACAGTGGTCATAACAAAGCAAGAACTCACCGATTTAAGTCGTATAATGTTGAGAAACCTATTACCACTGCTTCCTTAACAAAGGAAGACCATGAATGGAGGCGAGAAGAGGCTTAGTTCGATCTTTTACTACTCCAAACTGAAGGCTGAAAATCAACAAAGCAGTATCGACCTGGAACTCAACCTGGCACATGTCAACTTGAACTGACTGCAGTTGAACCGCGCAGGAATATTTATATAATATTGATGACGATGTCATTGGACACGCCTACAACAACATCAGACATCGAGTCGGACACTCCTACAACGACTCACCACAAACGCAGCAAATTTTATTTTCCTGCATTCCAGAAAAGTTTAATCGTTTAAACTTACCTCAAAAACAAGTGGAAAGTTGCCTGGGCCATTGTGTTAACTCTGTTTTTGACACTTGACCTGGGAAATCCCTATTTCTTATGTTCCACCTTGTGCCGGACATGTGGCTTTCCACCGAACCTGACGACTGCCGTTACTGACTGCGAGTGGTTTGTCACCGGTAGCTCACTTCCGGACTGAACGGGACTTCCCCATTCCCCATATCTTCTACAATATTTTAACTTGCGCCCCCAATTGTCCAATAAAGTACACTTGTGCCAGTAAGTTATGCACTGCAGTTTGCATGAGTGGGAGTGGTCATCCAGCACTCTTTTTTTTCAGAAATGGATTGTTTGCCGAATCATTAATGTGATTCGTAATTTCAAATTCACCAGCTTGCTTTTATTTGTCTTCTTTTTCAGAAAAAATTTGTAAAGCAGCTCAGTTGAAACAACATCTTCATTTGGGTCATGTAGAATCCAAGGGTCTCAGAAACCCCAATCATAATCGACGCGCCAAACCTCCAAACAGGCAAAGCAAGTTTTGTTTGTGATGTTCGAATTACAAATCATTTCCTTACTTTATTGACCTCTTTTCTCCCTTCCGCTTCCGTTACCATCCCCAGAGAGGGAAAAGGGAGGTGTTTCCATGACAACTCTTCCTTAGTGGAGGCAGCTGTGTAACAACATCATGTTACCCAGGTGTCTGTATTCAGGATGCTGGATGTTGGTCGTTGCCAAGCAATGTTTGATCAGCCACCCCAGTAGCTTTACTATCCCTAATAGACTATATGACGTACTCCCAAGAAGCCAAATTAAACAAAGTCCAGACTCCACACTCCATCAGCTAAGAGGATTTACCAGGTTTTAGGGGAACTTCTTTCAAAACTACCAGTACACTTCTCATGTAAACCCTCTAGTAAAAAATGTGTCTCTGAATTCAGTATGGGCTACATCCTCACTTTAATCCGGATTTTCACTAAAGATTGGGATCCTATGTACTATTGTATATCATTTATTAGGTTTTCTGCGCCTATGAATATGTATTTGAAACTGGAAGGAAAATAAATGAATAAGCAGACACGCGTAAGATTATCCGTAAATGGCCCTTTCCTTCTCTCAAACACGTGTCCCTAAGTTATTGAGATATGTGGAATCAATCAGAAAAAAAAAATCATTTGTATTAAGTTGGAATGGTACTATTACTGGGGTTACAGTTCTCGCTTTACGTAAAACCTGGTTCAAAAACATTTTCCGAGGTGTGGGTACGGGTGAAAGTGCTTGTGAAAAATAGTTGGTTGAAAGACAGAGTTGATCATAATTCTTGTCAATACTTTCGACTAGAGTCACTCGAGTTGACTTGATTCGAGTCGACTCGGGAAGTGTTTGACTGCGAGCGAATGACTCATTCGACTCGAACAGTTTACAATACTGCGGACATGTAACTATGGTTTACACACAGCTCTATTGGTTTACCGCCAGGGTTTGTAATGTTTGTGTGTAAACATATGTATGTGGGCAGGATGTAAATTTGAAAGTATCAAGTACTGAATCCCAATCCTGTATTAACCTCTTGTGTTTACATGCACCTGCGACTTGACTCAACCTTCTCGACTCGAGTCACATCTTTCTAACGACTTAACTTAAGTCACACAATTTATAGGCTCGTAACAGTCCATAATTTTTCATGTAAGTAGCCACGAACGGAGGTGTGGTGCTTTGCAAACACGTGGGTTGGAGTTTTTTTTTTATATTTTTTTGCCATATCAACGGCAAGTACACACAAAGTTTTAGTGCTATACCTGTACTCAGGCTAAGCACTTCATATGGGTCATAGAAACCCAATCTTATGCACATATCAGCTTTTGTTTGGGTTATCTATTAACTTGTATGATCTTTGGTGCAGCAAGGCTAGGTCCAACACAGTGAGAAAAGGGGCAGATCCTATGGGACATACAGATATGATGTTCCATGTTCAGTCTTGTGTTCAGCTGATTGCAACACTGTAAAAACGAGTCGGAAATGATCCTATGGGACATACAGATATGATGTTCCATGTTCAGTCTTGTGTTCAGCTGATTGCAACACTGTAAAAACGAGTCGGAAATGAAGTATGACAGACTGAGATATTTGAAAGTTGAAATTTTCTGGTGGAGTTCTCTCCTATGACCGTCTCGGTGCAAAATGCTCCTGTACGAGCCGTCGTTATGAAACACAAAAGCTATCCGTACCGACTCTTGCAGAAGATATTCGCTTGGATCTTCTACAATCTCATCGTAACGACAAAGAGGTCGGTCGAGCTGACGAGAGCGGCTGGTCAGAAATGGGGAGCGATCCAACAGAACGGCAGGCCTCCTGCTGTGGGGAGGAAAGCCCTGACGAAGCCCCTTTTCCGGACCGTGAGAACAGTCGATTTTCAGGCGGTGTTTTGGCTACTGACCCTGCTGGCAGTTGCGTCAACTTTGATGTTGTGGTCTTCTGTCAGCACTATCTACGGTAAGATCAACAGATATTTTGTGTAGGCTATATAGGAAGAGAGAGAGAGAGAGAAAGAATAGACCGACAGCCCGGAACTAATTTTTTAATTGTTTTGAGAGTGCCGTATAATTTTGTGAGTACCGTATTAGGCCTATGCATGCAGCCACCGACAGTTGTCAATGTTTCAAACTGTACAATACTCCACTCCCGACCAAACCAAACAAAACAAGAAATAAAGGATCACCAATTACATCTCCCCAGCATGTCCATCTGTGAATAAAGCATGCATTCTGTTTTCCCCTTTTGATTATGCCAGACTTGAAGAGGCAACTGATATCATACTTCTGCATCATCCTTGTTTTGCTCAAACGGGGTATTGGTTAAGAGATCACGGACCAAAACACGAGGAAAGACCGACCGACCTGCAGTATATTTGGTTCGTTACTTTTAGCCACTTGGTATCTACTAGACCGCTTTTCAAATGCGGTCCAGTAGATACCAAGTAGCTAATTAACCTGGTATTGAACTGCACTCATATGGATATCTGGGAACTTTTTGGGAGGGGAACCAATCACAAGGTTTTTGACTAATATCCCGAACAAAACTATTGACAAAAATATAAGGTTGGATACCTCACTTGGTAGAGCGGCATAGTGCCTGGTGAACGCAAACCCCACTCACGTCAATTTCATTGCATATTTTCATAATTATAAGTGTGAATGGAGATATTTTTTTCGGTGGCTGACGTAACATCAAGTTATTTAATAAGTAGAAGAACAATGACCAGTCTTATTCCTCAGCGATTGGTTGTTCAGTTGTACAACGAAGGAAGGAAAACATACCATTGTAGATGTATGAGGCACAGAACGGGAAGTCGGTAAAAGGTGTCCGAGGATTCATTGACAATTGGTTTGGAATCTGTGACTAGAATGGGGAGTCAGGTTGGCGTAGTGGTTCTTTCTTCGCCTCCCACCTCTGCGGTCCGGGTTCGAATCCACATGTGGATTGGGTTTTAGTCCCTACCTGATTCCGTGGGTTTTACCCAGAATATTCCTCTGGGGTTTTCCTCCCACCTCTAAAACTGTAACTGCTTCTCATTGTCTCCTCTCTACGGGTTTCTATCTTCGGGCTTGTGAGCTACAATGCCGAGGGTGCTTTTGAGGAATCCTTGGTGTCATTACCAGAAATAAATAATGATAAAAAGAATACTGCAGCTTAACTTGCCGATTGCGCTTTACACTAATGTTGATTTCATCCATATGTATCCAGCCGAATTTTTCTTCATTTAAAACACAGGAAGTCAAGCAGAAAATGTTGAAGACGAACTAATTCTTAGATTTTACACCGCATGGCCTCGCCGTGCTTCTTAAAATGCCACAAACGGCATTGTTGTCCTATTGTGGACCCACCTTTCGTCTTTGTAAATGTTACGTAATATTTCTTTGCTCTTTGATTAAGGACATTCTTCTGCTACGTGGTCATTGATTCTCACGGTCACATAAGCGCACACCATTTTGTTGAATCACTGGGAATCCGAATGTCTCCGTCATGGAATAAGAAATGTGTTTCGAGTCAACGTCAGTGTACTACGTGCTAACTTGAAGTCAGAAACAATAGGAAGGATTGTGTGGTTAGGTTCATGGAATCCCTGACGAGATGATGTGAATCTATGATTTAACAGAGGACTTCTGGCCACAGTTTGGGATTGCTGATGACCGTCTTGTCTACGCTGAGTGGAAGCTTGTCGTCGTTTGGCCCTCACCGCACTAGATGGCACTCTTTCTGTCGTGTTGCACCCTGTTCCAGATTTGTTTGATTAAAATGGATGCTTTTAACGTAACTCACTAGTACCTTCTAAGCTTTGTAAAAATGCCCAGGTAATATTTTGTGGTGTGCTGCAAAAACTCACTCTGTATCGAGGATAATTTCACCATATGGGGTGCAAGGTCTCACAGAACGTCTTGAAGCATTTGTTGTCCTTTTGGGATTCCTGGACGTCTGTGGACAAGTAACGATCTCATGCTTTGAGGGGTATCATCCTCCGGTAGTCTTCTAATAAAACCTGGGCATTAGATAGCCAAACCACCGACTGTGTCGATGATGAGTCTGCTCATTAACTGCTTACCTCGGTCAATCAGGTACCGTTGTACCCTCAAGTCCCTAGCCATGAACAAAACTCTGATCGTACTGATGTGGGCCTTGGTAGCCTGTGCACTTGTATCGACCAGCGTTCTCTGGAAGTCCATGGACAGTAAGTATGGTAAGATTGGAGATTAAATGTAGGTTGAACACAGCTAGGTGCAGGTAATCGTTGTGGTGAGATAAAAACAACTCCTTTCCTCCTTTTCATGGGCTCCCCCTATTTTTGTCATTATTTTATAGGGGGGCGGGGCCATTCCCCTGCCCCCCAGACGCGTGTTGATGGTGAGTCTTATCCAAATGTTTTCAGGTTTTCTGGTTGGCAACTTTGACCATTGTGTTCTCGGATCAAATGTAAAAGTGCGTCCATACCGAATTGAACAAAATTTCCTAACAAAACCAATTTCGGTAATTCAATCCCTGGGGCGGAAAAGGCGATTTCAAAAAAGTAGCGATACATCAATCAATAAATGCTGTGAAATATTCTAATTGTTGAAAAAGAAGCTATTTAGTAAATAAAGTGTGAGAGAACATAGTGAGTGTGCTAATAGTGCACAAGTTAACGGAAACACGCATTTTCTTTTATACTTTGCATCATTCCCTTGATTATTTTTGCTTTATAATCCTCAGGTGTCGAACAAGATGGTGGGGGATACCGCTTATCTGATTGGCTGAACCGATTGCGCAGAAGCATTGACCTCGCTTATGACCCCAACCAAAGAGTATCAATACGTAGTCAAGGTGATGCATCATACTGTTCACACTTTCTCAACAATCCTCGGTCTGATTTTATACGCACACTCCGTGAATTTACTGTGCAAATGAGGAATGACTCTGTGCTACTTGACTGAGAACAACTAACAAAATAATATCTATCATCATTGATCAAAAGTCACAAAAACAGGTTGAGAACTAAAAAGTCAGAAGGTTACAATACTGTTAGGAAGGACCGTGAAGGGAAATTCATACACACTTTGACTCGCCTTTTTATTCTGAAATCCTTCTCTTCGAGGCTACATCACTATAACGTTAAGTCCAAGAGAAAATATAATGAAATAAGCCAAACTGATTTTCTTTTTCTCCGGTGTCTGACCGCAGTCGCTTCCCACCAAGAAATATTACAGAATGGGGCCAAGATGTTCAACACGTCTCTGGACATTTGTCGCGATACAATTCACTTGAAGAATCTCGCAAGTCAACCATTGGTCGTAAATGCAAGACCAACTTGACGACTTACGGCCAGAACATGATGGATCTGGGGAAGCACCGGCAGGAAATTAAAACCAGACCACTAACATACATCTTCTTTATAGACGTTTGCTGTGTAAACGGTCCATCAACCCTGTTTGAAGTCGTCCACGCGCACCTGTACAAGCACTGATTTGATTTGGTACATTCGGTTAAGGATAAGCATGAAAAAAGAGCCATTTCCTAGTTGAGGAGAAAGATTCCACCCCCCCCCGAACTCGGCTATCCATCCCATGCTCGCTCTGGGCATGAAAAGGATTGTTACGTTTCCACTAATATTTTTTTTTGTGTTTTTACACAGATATCAGGTATGGCGAGACTGATGAAATTTGCGAAGAGAATGATTTTGCTGGATCGGGTAAGTAGTTTAAAGTAAGTCAGTGATTTATTTTCTGAATTTTTTTCTCCACACATAGCCATTGTAGCGACGAAATAACGCGCAGTCCCGGTCGTGTTTGGCAGCCGTAACCACTGAATTCGGTTGTGGTCATCGGTTGAATACATCGAGGAATAAAAAAGGATTTTTATTTTGCACGATTCTTCATGTTTAACCGTTTTCCTGCCTTTATTCAGACTAGGCCTAAACCTACAGATCTCAACCATTTTCGGATAGTATAATATCATCTTCCTAATTATTTTCATCTTTGTAGACGGCAATGTGACCTTATATATGAACTGGACCGAACTTTACCACGCTGAAGAGGAAATCTTACGAACATCCACAAGTTTTGTGAGAAAGCACCTCCATACAGACAACGTCCTGGTGCGGTCCATTTACGCTGACGCTGCACATGGTGGCCGACGACCAGAAAGGAAACAGCCGCATAGGACCGTTTCCGACGCACTCTCGGAGGGGATATTAATTGATGATTATTATTATGTATCTGGAGGACACTGGATACCAGCAAAGTGCCATCCACGATGGAAGGTATGCAGTTTAGATGGTTCCCGTCTGCTAATCCATCCGAATTACCTG